TAATATCACTTGACCTCACATCAAAAGCCAAGCTTCCTCCTTATCTTTCCCATAGTGCAGTCTCCTGACAGTGGAGAAAGCAAAGTTTTACTGTTACAGTTAAACCTTTTTATTATTTTTGAGAAGCTGAAATATAAAGCAATAAAATCGAAAGATTTAGCTTGTAAAGTTGTTGTTTTTTTTGTTTTTTTTTAAAGATGTGGACAAGTTGCTAGGCACTGAAACGGAAAGGAATTAAATTTTTGTTCTATTCATATTTTCAGTGTTGCCCCCCCCCCCCCAAAAAAAGCTCTGCTTTACAGTAATGGGTGGCTTGAATTTGAGGGAGGGTTCATTCATCAAAATCGTGTAGTCATTTTTGTTTTTTTTGTTTTTTTTTAAAGATGTGGACAAGTTGCTAGGCACTGAAACGGAAAGGAATTAAATTTTTTTTCTATTCATATTTTCAGTGTTGCCCCCCCCCCCCCAAAAAAAGCTCTGCTTTACAGTAATGGGTGGCTTGAATTTGAGGGAGGGTTCATTCATCAAAATCGTGTAGTCTCACTTCACATAAATGATACAGAAAACACCAGCCAGTCTGTGCTGCCTCCTGGCTGGGGAGGGTTAATTGTTTTGAATGAAAGCAGACCTCAATTAGATGGAAGAGCAGACAAGTCTGAAATTTGGATATAATGAGCAGCCTCTGCCGATTATTAAAAAAAAAAAAGAAAGAAAGAAAATCTAGAATATGAAGTTAAACAAAAGTAATCTATAATGTAGAGCTGTTGCTGGCTGTGTTTCCATTCATTGTTTCATTGATTGGCACACAGGTGTGTTCGATAGAAACAATAGATCAATAATAGAGATATATGTGGTGTCATGTTGCTGAGGTCTCAATTAAACTACAAATCAAATTAACTTTTAATAATGAAGTTAATGCAAGAACTGTTGTTTTTTTTTTAATCAATACTTTGCAATAATTTGGCAAGGCCTAAGGGAAAAATTTTAGTTGGGGGAAGGTGGGATGAGCCATAAAGTGTGGCCTGGGGGGGGGCAGTGGGATGAGCCATAAAGTGTGGCCTGGGGGGGGCAGGGGGATGAGCCATAAAGTGTGGCCTGGGGGGGGCAGTGGGATGAGCCATAAAGTGTGGCCTGGGGGGTGCAGTCGGATGAGCCATAAAGTGTGGCCTCATGGGAGGGGGCAGTCGGGTGAGCCATAAAGTGTGGCCTCATGGAGGGTGGGACTTTTGTATTTTGAAAAGTTTCTGCTGTATTTTGTTGTATCTTATATGGATCTAAAGTTATATATTTGACTTAAGAACAATTTAAAAGACACCAGGAATGAAGCAATGAGTCAAACTGTACATATAAATATAGCATAGTTTACATCTATTTATGCTGCTTGCAAATATTATAATTATAAATATTAATCCATTTTAATATTTTAAAGAAATAACTCTATTGTTCATTTAGCAATCTGTGATCCGGGTGATCATATTTATAGTTACAGAGGATCTGATAAAATTTATATTCTAACATTTAGCTGAGGTTTTCTGGAATAAATACTGGGCCAGTCTGCAGCCTGAAACAAAATTACTGCAAGCAATTAATCTCATGAGCCAAGAGGGGAACAACTCTTGATGAGCGAGGGAAAACAACTCTAATGAGCCAACAGGAAAGTAAAGTGCCTGATGAAAGATCCCTCCATTAGGGTTTGTGCTCAGGGGGATTCTTGTGTAGAGGGGATTGCCCCTTGGTGTAGTCAGGGGCACAGTGGGAGAGATAAGGCTACAGAGGACAAGAGTCCAGTAAGATACCAGTCAGACTGTCAAAATATATCAAAATGTTAGCTTCAGTGGCTGAAGTGAAGGACAAACAATGTGCAGGTCAAAAGTCTATTCTTAGAAACTTGAGGACAAGTAACAAAACACAACAGATCCCATTTAATACACTATATTCTAATTCTCTCTTTAAAATTTATATATATTTTATTATTTATTTTTTTTTTAATTTTAGAAGTCTAATTCTATAATGAATTTCATGTAAATGATACTTTTAATCCATCTTTAATCTAAAAATAAGATTATATTAATATTAAAAACTATTAATTAATTTACTCGTTTTGATCAAAGTAATGCTCTTGACAAGTTGACTGGAACATCCTGAATTGATTTGAGAGTTAATGTCAAGTTTTGGACATTAAGTTCAGGAATGGTCTTGCTTGCCTTTTTAAAAAAAAAAAAAAAAGATTCACACATCGTGAACCCCCCCCTTCAGCCCTCTACACATTATAAACCCCCGCGTCAGGCCTCTACACATTATAAACCACCACTTCAGCCCTCCACACCCCCACTTCAGCCCTCCACACCACCACTTCAGCCCTCCACACCCCCACTTCAGCCCTCCACACC